CTTGAACCTACAGCTCTCAAGAGTGCTATAAGAGTTGATCCCTTTTCTCAGGGAACTCTGGGAATTGTAGCTCTGGGAAGGGAATGAGATCTCCCAACAACTCTCAGCACCCAGAGCAAATGACAGTTCCCAGGATTCTTTGGGCAAAGCCATAACCTGTTATCAGAGTGCTTTAAATGTGTGGTATGAATGTGGCCTGCCCCTGGTCTAACCATCACACCAAACATCCAAGCCCTGGAACATAGGCTGTTGCTGGCACTGGTCTGCCTTGAGAGACAATGGAAGAGGATGCTTTCGGGGGTAAAGTCAAGCGGTTGGAGAGTTACAGCACCTGCTACGGCCTCCCACCTTTCCTCCAAAAGGCTCAAGGTGGTTGTACAGTGTTCTCTCTCTTTGTCCAATTTTATCCTCACAGCAACCCTGTGAGGTAGGATAGACTGAGAAACAGCAACTGGCCCAAGGTCACCCAAGTGAGCTTCATGGCAACTGGTGGTGTAGTTGTTAGAATGTCTGTCGGCCAAGGACCTGGGAGGCCAGGGTTCAAGTCCCCACTCGGTCATGAAGCTCACTTTGTAACCTTGGGGTTGGCAAAAGGCTTGGCAGATAGGCAGAGGATATGAATATAAAAAAATAAGCCACAGACCTTCCCCATCCCAGCTTTTTGTCTGCTGAAGCAGCCACCCAGCACAACAACAAAATCAAACCAGGCAAATAATTACAGGGTTGCCAGTTTGTTTGTTTTTGTTTCTTTTAAAGGCTGCTGTAGGTATGCCTTGAATAGCTCTTCTCCCCTCATTTACAGTTCCTAAGGCCAGTCACTCACCACTGGAAGGGTCTCTTGCTGCATCAGCTGAAAACAGTCCCATGTCATTGCCCCTTTCAGGCTCTGGCTTCCTCGACCAAACTTCCCAATGTTCAATGAACGGTTCTGTTTTTCTCTTCTGACTTTACGCAGGGAAATGAGCCCTAGAGTTAGGAGTATGCAAATCCCTTTGAAAGACGCAACAATGGGCAGGTGTATTCTGTAATTTGCATAATTGTCATACAGACAAGTGTGTGTGTATGTGTGCGCATGCGTTCACGTGTGCATGCATGTGTGTGTGTTGTGGGGGGAATACAGTTGTAAAACAATGCCAAATAAAATATATGCAAATCAATACAAAACGGCCAAAGATGCACAATATATGTGTATGCATCCTGCTAGGGCTCACTCCACTTGCCAGCCCTGCCTATCTGCCGGGTCCTTTGCCAATCACATTTCCCCCACACCCGACCGACTTCTAATTCCTTTACACCTGACAAAAAAAACACACCATCTCTTTATACCTCAGCCCACCCCCTTACAGCTCAGCCTAACCACCAGCTGCAACATGGTGATAGCCATGGGCTTAGACAGGATTTATGTTAGTGTTGAGCTATCTGTGACGCAATTGGTCAGTTAGTTAAGTATTTCTATTTATTTATTTGATTTTTTAAAGGGCATATTAGGAAGATACTACACTTTGATGCTAATAGAAAACTCTGTAAGCATGGGTCCTTATGTGATCAAAAGTGTGAGTGTGTTCACACATTACTTTCAATGAGTGTACAATTTGTGTAGCTGTGTGGACAAATAGTTGAACTGTAAGCTTGTACTTACATGTTACTCACCTGTAACATTCCATGAGAATGCAGTCTGTGTACTGGTGTGGAATGACTTGGATGTGTGTAGGCTAAGCTTGTACGGGTGTTCAGCGGAAAGTGTGGACAGGGCCTAGTACCAGCCATGCACAAGGGAGGAACTGGCAGGCTTTGGGGAACTTCCAAGTTTGCAGAAGTACAAATAACATTAGCGGATGGGATGCTAAGGGGAGAAATTTTCTAAACTGACCAGTGAGGACTAACCCAGCTCATTGGCCCAGAATGTGGATTGACTGTTAGAAGGCAGAGAATAAAAACAGGGGAAGGAGATGTAATGGTGTGCCCTGGAAAAGGGCATAGCTCACCTGGCTGGCTGTCACCTTGAAGGAGAGCATGCCATGCTGTAACTTTGTCACATTTAAAAAATTAAATTTGAATTGCTGTTTTAAAAATTAAATATCGCTGAAAACCCAGTGAAAGGTAAGGTATATGCAGGCCCTATTTAAAGAGGGGGTGGTATGGGAGTTTCATACACTGAGGCATTTCACACACTCAGGCACTTGCTATATCTATCTATATCTATCTATCTATCTATCTATCTATCTATCTATCTATCTAGATATCCATCCATCCATTTGGAAACTGCCTTAGACTCCGGCTGTGGAAGAAAGGCAACATACAGTAATCTCCAAAACAATACCTGGAGGGCATGTCCCCCAACACCTGCTCTCCAGTCTGGAGCATGCCATATTGCATATTGCAGCATCTTCAGCTAAACAAACCCGGGGGAGAAATCTCTGGCACAAAGTACAAGGAAAGAGGTGCTTTCCCCAAGCTACGTGCTGACATAAGCTTTGCATGTTTTCCCTATTGCCTGCTGGGTGGGGCCAACCGTCAGATGCTGAACAAGATAGAATTGCACCCAAGAGCAAAAAGATGCTTGAGCTGTCCAACTGGATCCGACATTGAGTTCAGTGGTGTAAAGGGGAGGGGAGGGGAATGGCATGGCATGGGACAACACAGGGGAATTATAGATTTTCCTTGTTCCAGCAACTGAATTAGGTAATAATGTGTCTTTCAAGTTTGTTGGTGGCTGATTAGCATAGAGAATGTCAAAGAACCAAGCAGAGGCTGGATACTTTTTTCCTTTGACAGGGTTCCTACTACTGTACTGGCTAGCAGATCAAACAGTAATGCTTCTTTGCAATGTGGTCCACATTTCTAAATAAAAGCTGGAAGTTGCATTTTGGCTAACTAAAGATAATATTGTTAAAGCCCCTAAATAGGGGGTGGAGGACCTTGGGCCTGAACGTTAAATGCAGCCCTCCAAGGTTCTCCCGCAGGGTTTCCCCCACACTGCTCCCACTGGCGCTTGCAGACATCTTGGGTGCTTTTACCTGACTATAGTGTGTCCTTGAACTCTGATAATGTATTTTGCATGCCTGGATGGAGGATGGAGAGGGGTGTGTGGATGAATGTGCAGAAACTAGCTTATTTTACAAAGCGTAAAATTTGCATTCATTGCTCTGCCCACTTTCACCTCTGGCTCTTTCAACCACTGGGCTACTGTCCAAGGTTGCCCAGAATGGAATATAGCCCTCAAGGCTGAAAGGTGCCCCCTCCTGCCCTAGACAGCCTAGGAATGAGGCAGCATCTGAAGAACCTCTAAGTCCCATTCACATCTGTCTGATCATTGAGATAATCATTGGAGTCCCCAGTCTGAATCCCTCCACCTTCAGAGGTGAGGTGGATGGGTAGTAGCAACAGGGTCTTTGGGTGCTCCACTTGGGCCATGTGCTCCAGCTGCGACATCTGGACTCATTTCTGCTACCAAGGCAGATAGTCAGGGTGCAGAAAGGGGTGAAGTGAGAGGATGTGGAGCTGAGGAACTGAACAAAGACAGACCCTCCAAAATGAATACAAACAGAAGGAAGCAACTGAATTTTGCCTTTCCACCTGTACTGCTTAAAATTTTAACTAGCTGCTTTCAAGCCAGAATTGTTTGGTCTGCAGTGGCAACGGGCAACTTACAGCATATATAAAAAATTGTAGCACATCAGACATTAAAAATTTCCTGATACAGGGCTGCCTTCCAATGTCTTATTTTATAGTCAATAGTTGTTTATTTCCTGGAGATTTGATGGGAGGGCTTACCACAGTTTCATATTAACCTGCTGCAGATTCTTGTTTTATAACAGAGTTGGGGGGACCTTTATTCAGGCTGGGGGCCACACTCCCCTGTAGGGGGTCTTGGGGTCTGCAAGGCAGTGGTGAACAGGGCTGTAGCAAAAACAGACAATCAGTGTGACTTGTACAGTAGGTTTCTAACACATACCGGTACCTCTTTCTGCCTCCTTCCACTCAAGAGGCACCACCAGAGCAGTAAGGAATGTGGCCTGGGGAGGGGGCATGGCTTATGGAGGTCCCAAGGGCTGGAAAGATGACTCAAAGGTGTAATTTCACCCATGGGCCAGAAGTTCCATAGCCCAGTATGCAGGTACGTCAACTCCTGGGGGCCTGCGGACCCCCTCAGTATCTCTTGCAGGGAGCCAGTCCCCCCGCCTCAATGTTGAGGAGGCTGAGTGTGGAGCGAAGCATGGAGCTGAGTGCAGCATGCCTCCAGTGGCCAGCTCCTTCTCCACCTCCTCCTGCTGTGGAGGGGAAAGAGGGTGGAAGCAGGCTCTCGCTGGTGGCAGCACCAGGAGGCAGAGGAGGCGGCGCTGGCGATTGAAGCCACACGACCACCCATGGCTGCTCCCAGCATCCTGGGGAGGGTTGTAAGTGAACACTTGAGCATGAAAATCTCAGGACGCTGAATTCCACACCTGCTGTTGGTTTCTGTGTTTTGCATCATGAAGTAATGGACGAGACATGAGGGCTACCCATCTCCCAGGCCATATCCCCTGTTGTTTCACTCCAGTCTGTTCTCCGAACACTATTGTTTCTGGGGTCAGTGCTACCTAGAGTTCTGTGTGAAGCCTTTCCCATACTCCTAGCGCTCGAGCAGTTTCTCTCCAGGGTGGCCCCAGTGGTGCCTGTACAGATCCAAGCACAGGCTGAAGGTCTTTCCACACTCCTGGCAATGGTACAGCTTCTCCCCTGTGCAAATCCTCTGGTGTTTGGTGAGGACCTGGCTTTGCCGGAAGCACATCTCGCACTCAGTGCACTGGTACTGTTTGCGGGCACAGGTGCTAAACCCTGTCTGTGGTGTCTACCCCTTCCCCACAAAGAATGAGACAAGAGACCAGAGTATGGGTTCAAACTGGCCACAACTTTATTGAGCTTCAGAAGTGGGAACTTGACACAAGCTTTGGCAGGTAACCCTCTCAGCCCGTCTGGCTGAGGATATGCAGGCTGATGAGGTGTAGTGAGAGGGGACTGCAAAGCACAAACTTACACAGCATGCCCTTCCACTAACCTCAGCCTGGGAGTTTGACCTACATGCCGCCGCTCTAAGGCCAGGGACTCCCAGTTTTTGCCCTTTATTAGGCCCTGCAAATGCCACCGCTTGGGAAGGGAGCATGAATGCATCCCCCCCAACTTGACGATAGACTAAAGGATACCTTGCCAAGGCCTAAAGCTGCCAAAGTTGTGACGAAATGCTAAGGGGAAGGCGAAACTTGCCAATGCAGGGAAAATTCCTTCCCAGTTCTGAATACAGGAACCATCTTACGAACGCAGCAGCACCTGCTGACCTGGAACGCAAAATATTAGTCTGTAAGGAAAAAGTATCGTTAACTTGATGACTGCTGATCTAGGATGAAATTATTCGGAGGCAAGAAATTATTAATTTGAGGGAGGGTGGGTGGGTGGGTGATCCTGGAAGAAAACCAAGTGAGGCTTGGTCAAAAGGGTCAGCCTCTTTTCTTTGGCCTTAGCCCCACCCCCGGCTGGCCGTCCATTGTCCTCCCTGGCCAAGGGCGGGTCAAAGGCCAACCCAAGCAGGTGGGAGGCACCCGTCCAGGTGAGCCCGAGTCCCACAACCAAGGACCATTCACCCATGCTCTGCCATCAAACCGTTGTCTACCCAGTCCTTGAGGACTTGTCGCAAGTCGTGCAGCCAGAGGTCACTACCAAGTGGGGTCAGGTGTACTCCATCCGCCCTGAATAGGCCAGCCTTATCTGCCCTGATGGTGGGATGTAGAATAGAGAATCCACCAATTAGCCACATGGTATTGCGCATGGCCCTGTTGATTTTCCCCACAGCGTAATTGATGCGAGATGGATTGGAAGCCCCTCTCCAGCGCAGGCGGGGGAGGAGATTGGACCAACCGATAGTCCTTGTTAGATACAAGGCATGCAAGCTTTCTATATCTGCCCTTGCAGCAAGGGTCAGGGCAATGCCTTTTTGTTCCATTAGATTGTTCTCTCCCAAGTGTAAAATCAAGACCCTTGGAGGGCCATGCACCGCTGCAGCACTAGGCAGCATGGGCATCAAGCTTGGCCAACGCATGCCCTGCTGGGCCATCCAATAAATGCATACCTTGGGGTGGATGTTAAGGTTACGGCCTCCATTGTGTGACCAGGCATAATCTGCCGCCCAATGGACAATGCTATGCCCTACAACCCAGATCTTCATGGTGGACAAACCTGTAAGAAAATTAAATTGCAAGCAATAAGGAGGAGCTGGGCCGAATGTAGCTTTTCTCGTGGAAGCTGTCACAGGGGTCCGGCCAACAAAGGAATTTACAAAAGAATAAGATAGCTGCCCTGTAAAGCATTACAGTGGTACCTCGGGTTAAGTACTTAATTCGTTCCGGAGGTCCATTCTTAACCTGAAACTGTTGTTAACCTGAAGTGCCATTTTAGCTAAAGGGGCCTCCCGCTGCTGCCGTGCTGCCACCGCACAATTTCTGTCCTCATGCTGAAGCAAAGTTCTTAACCCGAGGTACTATTTCTGGGTTAGTGGAGTCTGTAACCTGAAGCGTCTGTAACCTGAAGTGTATGTAACCCAAGGTACCACTGTAAAGTTTTAATGGCAAGGCCCTTGCGCTTTAGGAGCACCAGGAAGATTTGGCAGATTGCGAAGATTCTTTTTAAGCTGGATGTCGGGTGGCTGATCCGTGCGCTTGAAGTTTGACGCCTGCAGCCTCCCTTTTGCATCCAGCCAATCCTCCCCACATGGCTCCCTGGCCCCAAAGGCGCAGCGATGACGCCAGGTGCGACGTTCCCATATCCAACTAGGAAGGCCAGGGGCCTTGTGGGTAGTAACCCAGTACCCCTTGCAGAGTTCTTCCGACTCGCCACAGGAGGAATCACACGTACCTGAAAGATCCGAAGAATCCAAAGTGTCCCTCTTGCACTTACACCCATGCTTCCTTGATCTGTATGACCTCTTCTTCCTGCGTCGTGTTCTGCGCAAATCAGGGCTGGAGGAGTTGTCTGGTGAACTCGAAACAGGTGACCTATGCCTACGCCTACCCTCACGAGACCGTCGACAAGGGGACTTAGACCTATCTAAACGCTCCTCAACCCGGGCCAGGCGACGCTGCAGGCTGCGGTTCTGGCGCAGTAGTTCCTGCACATCGTCCCCACTGGACTGTGAAGCATCGCTCTCAGCAGCGAGCTGCTCTGGGGATACACGCTTTTTATTCTTAGGGTGGGCCCTGTAGGGCCTGCCATCAGATGTGGAGGGGCCATCAAACGGATCATCCCTCACCTTTTTCTTAGTTATTATGAGCTTCATAGGTGGGCCCTTCCTGCCGGAAGACAAGGCCCTTTTTTTTAATCCTATTGGCTGCTTTTACAGCGTTGCTAGGGGTGCCCTTCGCTGCGGCTTTAGGGGTGCCCACCACTACAGCTTCATGTGTGTGAGGGGGAGAGCCTTCCCTTTGTTCAGCAGCCGTGGCTAGAGACATAATGCACCTTGAAGCGAGCCACTACAGACCTGAGTAAGATGGGCAGGTGGTGTGGGGTTTTTTAAATACTTATTATACTGCTATATTGGTTATTTTCCTACAAGAGTATCTTGATTAAAATCAGAAGATGGGGGGGCGGGGTAGAGACAAAACCAGCCAACCTAACTGCGCACACACGCTGAAACTGCAAAATAAAGTAACAAGTTAGCTCACATCCATATGCTCTGGAATCCTGTGGAGTAGACCCTCCAAGGATGGAATAGGGCCACCCCCATAACAAGGAGGGGGGACAACTTCCACCCTAAAAATACACCACACATGAAGCCTGTAGCCAGAGCAATCGCAAAATATCAAGCACTGCAAATGCGGCCTAAACATGCCCCCCACAGAGCCGCCTAAAAGAACAGCCGCCATGCGGCTTATGGTTGAGAGCAGTGGCAGCAGAAAAAAAGCTGCCATGCGGCCTACAACTGGAGTTGCCCCCCCCATGGCGAGCAGTGGGGCAGATGGGTCCATGCACCCACCCCACCCCAAGGAGAAAAGTGGCAAAGGGGCTGCAAATGCCAAAAAGAGGCTGCTGCCCACTGAACCAAAAGCCACCATGTGGTCTACTGCTGGGGCGCCTGCCGCCCTCTCAGGCCTGGCAAGGCGCCCCCACGGCAAGCAGCAACCACAGAGGGGGCTTACGCCCCCTCCCCAGCGCCATTGCCGCTGAAAAACAATCAAGGAAGGCCTGTAACAAACAACGCAAAAGACTTACCTCAACCTGGTTGCTCACACGCCCTGAAAACTGGAAGATGATCCTGGAAGGAAGAAAACCAAGTGAGGCTTGGTCAAAAGGGTCAGCCTCTTTTATTTGGCGGGTCAAAGGCCAACCCAAGCAGGTGGGAGGCACCTGTCCAGGTGAGCCCCCACTCAGTGCCCCAAACCCCGCCCACCTATAGGGAAGGGAGGGCAGAAATTCTAGGCAGCGTGACTCTTGAGATCCTGGTGTTATAAGAATTTTAAGGTCTTTTATATACAAATAGATGTTCATAAATGTACCAAGCAAACACATACAAATATGTAAACCACATGTCTAAAACCCACAGAAAAGTCCTGAAACCATTTTCTCTCTCCCAAAATGACCTCAAATATTTCTCTGCAAGGTTGAAGGAAATGGGAAATCTCCCCATTGTCTCTTGCACAAATCCTGGCTTAAGGGCACATTTAAGATATGAATAGGGTGTGAGCCTGTGACCTGGATTCAGGATTTGAGTAACAAAAGAGTGACCAGGATGCCCAGGTAATCTAATCAGGCAACCTAGCAGACAAGAGGAAAAACACACACACTCAGATTTCTGTTGTAGTCCGCCCCTTCTGTGATGTATGTATGATGTTTCTGGGGGTGGTCTAAAGATCTAACCATTTGGCTTATCTCCTGCAGCAGTGCTGGAGCCCTGAATCTGAGGGTGCCCTGGGTCATGATGGACAGCTGAAGGGTTATGATGGGCAGCTTAAGAGGCTAGATCTTTTGCTACCATAACCTCAGAGCACACTCCTGCTCCCTGTCATGACTCTGGAAAAGGATGCCATTACCTCTTGCAGGGGAACTCCTTTTCAGCTCATCATTTTTCTGAGAGGGAGCCTCTACCTCTTTTTCATTGAGGATCATCTCACTATCTGCAATAAGAAAACAAAGTATGATTCAGCTCCTGTCCCTGTTCTGAAAACAAAGGAGTAATGATCACAGAGAGGGTAGAAAGCAATGCCTGAGCTGAGGGTGGTGGGTTAAATACAAAATGTGAGTTATTGGGGCATATTGGTGTTATAAGAATTCTAAGGTCTCAAATATAAAATAAATGTTCATAAATGTACAAGACAAAGACATATATAACTATATAAACCACTGAAATAGGACAGGAGAACCACCCTGAAGCCATTTTGACTCTCCCAAATTGACCTCAAATATTTCTCTGCAAGGAGGAAGGAGATGCGAAAAGCTTTCCAATTGTCTTTTGACTGTAGGGGCTTACACCCCCTTTTTCAAATACAGTCCGGCAAGGATCTGTTAACCTGAGCACACTATCAATATGCCTAAGAGATTCAGGAACTATTTACCATCTCAAAGGAATGGCCAGGCTACCCAGAAAATGCAAGCAAGTAAGGCATTATCAGGTATCCTGGCAGACAGGAGAGAAGCAACACTCTCAAAATTCTGCTGGATGATGTTTTGTGGGTGGTCTTGGGCTATAGGTCTTTATAGAAGTCTTTATAGGGGCTTGCACACCATAGTTTGGGGTTCCTCTGCCTCCTGTGTGTGGTGAGTGGGGGCCCTGTTGCAATAATTCCTTGAATAAAGGTCAGACTTACCAGCCGCTTTGCTTCTCAATATACTCTGGTTGGCCTCTGTTATCTTCTCCTACTGACATGGAACCCACTTAAGTACTCTATAGGGGTTCTGGAATACCCCATAAGGGAATGGGCGCAGTTTTTCTTATAACATTGGTATCTCTCGGTTGTTTTAATTTCAGCAGACATCAACCATTAACTGTAATAAGTTCTCATTCACCATTTTCAAATACCATTACATGTCAAATATAAAATACTACATATCGTTGCATGCCATCTGTCATATCAGGTACATAAAGGTAAAGGGACCCCTGACCATTAGGTCCAGTCGTGGCCGACTCTGGGGTTGCGGCGCTCATTTTGCTTTATTGGTCGAGGGAGCCGGCGTACAGCTTCCGGGTCATGTGGCCAGCATGACTAAGCCGCTTCTGGCAAACCAGAGCAGTGCACAGAAACACTGTTTACCTTCTGATCCCAGAAGGAAGAGCAGCAAAAGAGGCTTGAGCCCAGGAGTCAGCCTCTTTTCCTTTGGCCTTAGGCCCACCCCCGGCCGGCTGTCCATTGTCCTCCCTGGCCGGGGGCGGGTCAAAGGCCAGCTCAGGCAGGTGGGTGGCACCTGCCCAGGTGAGCCTCGCTTGGTCCGCAAACCCCGCCCACCTGTGGGGAAGGGTGGGCGGATATTACCTTCCCGCCAGAGCAGTACCTATTTATCTACTTGCACTTTGACGTGCTTTCAAACTGCTGGGTTGGCAGGAGCAGGGACCGAGCAACAGGAGCTCATGCCATCGCAGGGATTCGAACCGCTGACCTTCTGATCGGCAAGTTCTAGGCTCTGTGGTTTAACTGTTTAACTCTGTGGTTTAACTCTGTGGTCATATCAGGTATCAGCTTCTAAATACTACTGCATGTAACCTCTCATATACTGTGTGATACTGAGTACTATTTCATGTAATTTATCAAATATTAAATACCATCGCATGCCAACTGTAATATATTACATGTCACATATTTCACATTAAAAACCATTCTTCTCCTTTGGTGATCACTCGTAGCTGAGTAAGATTGTCTTCCATAAACACAGTTTTAAAAATGAGTCTGTAAGTGACTGTGGAGGCCAATTCTGGATCCACACGTCCTTCCACAGTGGGGACATTGGTTTCCAGGCTGGAGTTGATCACAGTGTGGATTTACCAAGTATGCCTTCCTCTTAGCACGTTTCTCCCTTGCATCCTGATTTCGAGTGTCTTCAAAGCCTATGACACCTTTGGTAAAGGCTGTTTTCGAACTGGAGCACTCACAGGCCAGTGTTTCCCAGTTGCCAGTGTTTATACTACATTTTTCTAAGATTTGCCTTGAGACAGTCTTTAAATCTCTTTTGTTGACCACCAGCATTACGCTTTCCATTTTTAAGTTCGGAATATAGTGGTTGTTTTGGAAGCCGATCATCAGGCATCCGCACAACATGACCAGTCCAATGAAGTTGATGTTGAAGAATCATTGCTTCAACACTAGTCATAGTGTTATAAGCCATCTATCAAACATTATAGATTATTATAAAAAATAAAGCATTAATATTTAAGTATTCAGTACTAAATGTTGTATCCAATGTTAGTCCCACTCAGTGGAGGCCTATTGAAATATTTGAATTTGAATAGGCAAGGTGGGTCTATTCTGAGTAAAACTTGGTTGGAGACAACCCAGAATATCATTGCGTGTAAAGCATCAAATTCTAATACTGCGTTCATAACCCCATTTGGGAGTAAGCCCCACTGAATTCAATACAGAGCTGGCCCACCCATGAGGCAAGGTGGGGTGACCACCTCAGGCAGTAGGATCCACAGGGGCAGCAGATCTAATCTCCAAGGAATGCATCGTCCACTGTATTCAATAGCACTTACTTTTGAATAAATACAATCAGGCCTGTAGCTTAATACAATTGATTACCAATGCTCAGTGCCATTGCATGTCAAGATACTGAACACTGTAATATCAAATATCAACAGCCAAACATCAAATGACTGGAAGGAAACATCAAGCTTGCAAAAGATTTTGAAGAGGAAATTCATTTCAGCTGAATTCTGGGCTGTTTCTGTGGATGGTTTATCTTGATGGAAGCTGGAGATTGGTACTTCCTTCCCACCGGTTGTAAAGATTATCTGAGTCTGCATTCCTAGCATTTCAGAAACCAGGGAGACAAGGAAATCAGCTGAAGCCAGCCCAGAAAACTTACCACTCCCTAACTCCAGAACCTAGATCTCTCTGCAAATTCTGGTCCAAATCACTGTTCTGCCCTCCCTCTTCCTGAGAGTCAAAACTCTCTGGTAAATTCACAGCCAGCTCCCAGAACAAAACAGAGCGCTGTGTCTAGGAGGGCTGGCTGAGTGAGCCTGCAGCAGTCACCAATACAAAATTTGGATCTGGGCCATAAGTTTAGCTTTGTCTCCCATGCAGGCTATGTGCATTGCCTCGCAGCCGGCCCGGAGAAACGCTGACGTCGAGCTCTACGTCGGCCGCACAGGCCCGGAATGTAACGCCAGTGCAACTCCTCAAACACCCTAGACAAGAGCAACTTCCACAGATAATTAGCCACACAAGTTTTAAATGTTTGATGTATTACAGTATTTTAATATTTTTCTGGAAGCCGCCCAGAGTGTCTGGGGAAGCCCAGCCAGATGGGAGGGGTATAAATAATAATTATTATTATTATTATTATTATTATTATTATTATTATTCCCAATGTGACCTCCATCGCACTCCAAACTGCTATGGGCTACAGTGTGAACTGTATCATGGAATCAGTGTGGAAGGGAAAGGGTTAAACAAGGCATAAATCCATCCAGATTAAATCCTAAAACACTCCGTCTAGCCCATTTTAAAAGACTGCAGACTGGAGCTACACTAACTTTTTTCTTTTTTTCTTTTTAATCCTGTTCTTAAAGTGGACAACCAAATGCTTGAGGGAAACCTGCAGGCAGAACCCAAGCATAAGAGCGCTATCCCCTCAGGGGTGGACTTTCTGTATTTCAAATTTCAGTGGTGCCCTGCGCAAGGCCAAAATTGGGTCCCCACCACTGCCTCTCGCCTTCCATTCTGCTCAATTCACTACATCATAGTTATGATGCCCTGCAGCACCCGCTAGGCTCGGCCTACAGCATGTTCCACCGTGCAGCTAGTATTCAGAATCATTGCTGCCTCCAGCTGTGCAGGCAAAGTGTAGCATCATGGTTAGCCCTCTTCTCCATGAATACATCTAGTCCTCTTTTAAAGCCATCTAGCCTGGTGCCTCCTGTGGGAGTGAGTTCCATAGGTTAACTACCAGTATGTGATGTATGAAGAAGTCACTTTCTTTTAACTGTCCCAGATCTCTCAAAATTATGCATCAATGGATGTTCACAAGTTTTAGTGTTTTGAGAGGAGAAAAGCTTTTCCCTACCCCTCTGTTTCCATGCCATGCGTAATTTTTTTAAACTTCTATCATTCCAACTCTTAGTTGCCCTTTGTCCAAACTAAAAAGCCCCAAATCCTGCAATGTTTCTTCAAATGGGAGCTGCTCCACCCCCTTTTCCTCTCCCCCCTTTTTGTTGGTTTATTCGTTTGTTTGTTTGCTTGTTTGCTTGCTTGCTTGCTTAACATCCACTCTGAGTTAGAGTTCTGCTTTACTCAAAAGGCTGCAACTTTCCTTTGTGATACTTGAGAAACCCTGTAGATGACTGTCGTCTGCTGGAGATTCTCCTGCAAGTTTCAAAGATCCCAGGAACCCAATCTGCAGTAACTTGGAGCAGGGCTTTTAGTGTGGCTGCCCCTGTTCTGTGGAACAGCATTCCTGCTGAAATATGACAGCAGAGATGGACTTTGGTAATATGGCGCCCTGAGCAAGGACAAACTAGAGTAGGAAACCATATAAATATAGGCGTTGTTGTTATTGTTGCTGCTGCTGCTGCTGCTGCTACTGTTGTTGTTGTTACTTTGTGCCTCCTCAGCTCAGTGTCCTGTACGGGGGAACCACCTACATCACCCTAAATCCAGTGCTGATGACAAGGACCCACTTTCCAGAGACAGCTGAATACATTTTTGTCCCAACAAGTTTTCTCAGGTGGATAAATGGGTCTGAACCACGAGTTAGGGTTTGTTTGGTAGGGTTTTGATTTAGTTTTAAATGTATTTGATACGGAAGGAACAGGGGGGGGTACCCATCCTTCCCCACCGCTCCCTGAAGGGGTCCGAGGCGATGGCCCCTGCAGTGCCCAGCCGGCCTCGAACCCTCAGCCCCCGCACCATTGCATAGGCACCACACTGTACCCCTGCCTTGTAAATAAAAGGCTCTCTTTCCTGTCTTCACGCGGGCGGAATAAGCCCCATCTTTCCTATGCCTTTCTCTCGCCCTATTCCTAACGTGAGTCTGGAAAGCATTGAAACCTTTAGAAATTGATATAAAATCAACCACAACTCCGATTTTCTCCATCCTGGTGACATTCAACTCAGTTGCCTCTGGACTCCATGTTGCTACCCCTACCTCCATAATCTTCGAGACGACAAGTCACGTACACAGGAACTTCTTAATCCTGTCAGATCGTCCTGCCTAACCCTTCCTCCGGGCAATACCAGGTGGCAGACGATGCATATCACTGTCCCATTGTCCTGCCACCACCGGTACTCAAGAAATGTTTATTTATGTATATCCCTCACTCTGCACATTCCCCCCTCCCTTGTCTTAAATGTTAATCAGTGTAACCCCACCTCTCTGTAAACATATTCATGACGTGTGTAATATATTCACGA